GCATAGGCGCCCGAATGGTTTTCTTGTATGCGTAAGAATAGTGTCACAATTACGTAATTGTGATCACTTGGGCGTTTTAGTTTTTTCTAACTATTCTCCCAATGTTCCAGAACACTAGATTGCTGAGTGCGCCATAACGATCAATGTCTATTTGTTGTATGGTTGTAACTCTCTATTCGGGCATTATACCTAAGCATTGTGAGCCATGCCTCTGTCCGCCTTGTTGTCACTCCTTCGTTTTAGGAACCTTTGTCCCTACACTTGACTACCATTGTTACACACGACGACCAAATATGTGAGTGTTAGAGCTGACCCCGATTTACTCCAGTGAAAACCCCGGTGGAAGTCATGCATTCAACGCATTCACTCACCCTTGACACTGCTACCACCGCCGAACAATTATATGCAATTACTTGTTTGCCAGGAGGCTTAAATCCCGGGATGAACTCTTCTCTGCACATAGTGAAATAATCAACTAATGCGCAGGATGATACATGGCTCGTGTGACGGGTTTAAACACGAGAATCACTTACTTGTAATATTTTGGTGGTGGCACTCCCAGGATTCTGCTCACATCTTCGATGGTAATAGCTCCTTTATCCTCCGCATCAAATAATTTGAACCACGTCTGAAATTATGGAAACAAACATTGCTTTCAGGATTTGATTCTCTACCGCATTCTCTTTCAAATTACAAGTGCTTCTCTACCACAGTGATATGAGTATTTTGGACTGTGCACACCGAACAAATATGCTGCATTAGTTAAGGTTTTAGATTCTCATTGAACGGAACTCATTAGCGCCTCACTGCACACATTGATACAGGTGAATAGGTTGGTAGAATATGCAGTTTAACTGCCTAGAATTTCGATAGACTCAGCTTTATGGTGCTTAATATGGTTTTCTTAGTTTGACTGTAAATATTTGTAATATCCTGTTTCGGTGAAGCATGCACTGTGGATTCATGTTTTACGTTTTCGGCTGCCTGCGGCGTTAACTAGGTCTTACTACCGCTTTCGAGTACGACCGATACAATTTTCTTACACTTGGCTGTCACATAGAGAGCAACCATTTCGCCTGTTCCACATACAATCCCCCCACCCTGCAACTACTCTTCGTTTCAATGTAGATCTCTGCCCACGTGGAGGTAGCATATCGCCACCCACATAGCGAGTTAAATGAATACATTCATTCAACAGGGCCGCATGCCACTTTCTCCAGAAATACACAATGCATAACTCGCACTGTCTTTCTCTGCACTGCTTTTTTCAAAGCCCTGGACTTATCGGCGTTGAGGAGGGCTGGTTTCTGAGTTTAACCGAATCAATGTGCTTTCAGTCTCCGTTACCAATTTTTGGTCAGTATCGAATACACGTATATACTCGATCAAGCCAAATGGTATGCGTAAGACCGACTTCCATAAATGGCAGTAATTAAAGTTATCATAGCATCAAGTTTACTCCGATGCTAGGGTTTTCAAATTAACCGGGTGTTCCCCCGCGTCAATTAGGTCCCCGATCAAGTACGACGTTCAAAAGAACCATTTACGCATCTATAACCTCCGTATTGTTTTTAATCTTGTGCTTTCGCGTAGATTGCGCTTCAGGAGCGCCATCTTGCGTACTTTCGCTTTAAATTCCTCTTTAACGTCTTAAATATTCTCGCATGAGCACACATACGCCAATTCATCGCATTGACTGCTATGTTCTGAAAAGCGCCCAGTATTGCCTGGATATGTACGCCAGACTAACTTAATTGGTAAACCTCAAAACTAGCTGTTACCTGGGCTGCATTCTAATAATCTGCCTTATTATTAGTAGTAGTATTAGCATCCGAAAAATTCGTCACAAGAAGTCATTGTTAAACCAGTACGAGCGTCTACGGCTGGTAGCGTCCGTGTTCACTTCTGTCTCTCATTATAACTGCGGTCATTCCCAAGTCGCCAACGCTCCCAGAGAGACTGTGAGTCTTTTGTGCTTTACTACCGGCAACCGCACCCACGCACCTCATATTCACTGTGTCCCCGAAGGATTTTGGCCGGGTGGTCTACAGATGAGGCCATGATTACATCAATGTCAGCTTACGCCCCTTCCACGCGTGCCTCGCTTACATGAAATTCTCGGAACCATGTTTGTCAAACAAACTCATGACAGTGGCTGTGTCGTGATGGGACTGCTGTGAGGCTAGCAATCACGAAAGCTGTGCATCCCGTCTTTTTGAACGACGATCAACAGTCGAGATGACGACATCAGTTGAGTAGGCTTCTTGCTGGCAATTACAGCGGACACAGTCAAACCTGACATTATTCCTGAGCTAAGCCTTAAGCACAATGCATTCCTCATGAACAATGGCGTTCGCATGACAGCGCAATACCGACATGCTAAACCAGTGCGCTTACCTACAACGGCTAGGAGGCGTTCTTAATAGCTTATCGGAGACATCCACAAAAATTTAGATGTGCCTCAGCATGTAGCCATTATACCGAATCTCATCATCTGCATTTTAATTCACAACTACCATTCTTTTGGAGAAAGATCTCCGGATAATTGCGAAAAATGGATCAAACAGGGGCCGAATTATTATCAATTTTCTGTTTGTCATTGTACAGTTTAGATAAGCTTCAACACTGTTAGCGTATAAATGAACATTCAAAAAGCGCGAGAGTCAGTCAATGAGAACTACCCAACCTAGGCAACGAACCAAGAAGCTTGTGTTTCGGCGAATGATGTCCGATTACATATCTAAATGCCAGCGATTCATGATTGCAAAGACTAGGTGTATGTTTAGGCTGAAATCCCAGTTGTTGGAGGCTTGAATCGAATGTTCTTTGCGAACACTGAGGTTAACTCCTTAAGGCAGGCGTTAACTACATTTCCCTACAGATGCACGTGATTTCCTTGACCTGACGCATGGCGCACTCGTAGTCGATCCATGTGCGCCGGTTAAGGTATCCGTTTTGACATCACTCCTCTGTTGGGTAGACCATCAGTGGTCCAAAAATAATATGACAGATAACGGTGCACCAGCAAACATAAGACTGCGATAGTCCTTGGAAAATCAGACGATAAACGCATTGTGAGAGAAACATCGTCAGAAGCGTATAAGCTGGATTAAGCCATTTTGGACGAAATAAAACAAATACGCATATTACATACAGCCTTCTCACATTCGGCATATACGAGGGATATCACAATGGAAACGTGATGCGGTGTTGCACTATGTTGTGTTCTTTGTTAACATGAAGCCTGTTCCTGCTATCTCGGTGAATGCTTAGGGACTGGAAAAGCTTCTCCCTATTCGCCACGTTTGGAGAATCGAAGTGGCATCCAGATAATATCCCCAGCCGTCTAAACTATAACTACTTGAACTTATCACAATCCGGCATCGGCTACCACGTAGCTTCGGAAGCACTGCGTCGTCCATTTCATAATGCAAAACTGATGAACAGAAACACCTTACCGCTCATTCATCTGGTTTTTTCAACAGCTTCTCTCATTTGTATCCCGACCACTTTATCGTCGCTCCATTCGTAGTTCACAACGTTCAGGTGAAGATCAGATGTGCACTGCTACTTTATCTTTATACTTTGATGCGATGTAACCGGAAGCGACTGCGCGCGACGCACAGTGGATAGCACACTGTTTGAACTCAGGCATCCAACCGCTCATTTCCTTTCACACGCGTCGACCAGATTGTGACTGACAGAATTTGTGAGGCAAAATGTTATTAATGCATCTCTCATGCTCAGCACCTCCAATTTTCCGCAGCGATAATCATACTTTTGATACATCACCAAAACTAGACCGCTCCGTCCTACAGATATCTTCATAATGCCTGGACCATGCATCGAATATCAACCCTGAATCAACATAAACAATTGAATCCAAAACGAACTCAGCAATAATTGAGTACTGCCTCGGTTGAAGGCTCCTCAATCTTTTTGACAGTTGCAGATTTGAGCGATGTTCGAACGAGAGTCCCAATCATTCAAAGCCATGCAGCTCCGCACAGCTGCTGGTATTGTAGCAAAACCATTCTCAGGTCTTTTGTTGAAACTGTTAGCTCGGCCAAATTTTCCCTCGTCGCCCAACTCTGTTGTTTTTCAGCTGACAGCATGAATAGCCGATAAGTATATTCGATTCATATACCGGCACTTCCTAGATCAGAAAGTATTAGCCTCGACAGAATTTTCAGTTGAGCCCCGAAAACTACCGTGTTGTTGGCAGTCAAACTAGCTCTGATAAGCTAGCTCAAAAGAAACGGTCTAGAAGAAAGTTCTTGGCTATCAGAAATTACTAACAGGCAATAAAGCGCTCCAGTTCGATACGCTTACGACGCCTCAATTTTTTCACGCCTACGTTTTCTTTTTATTTATAATCACGCTCTCTAAATTGTACGCCTAATCCACCCTTATATCATTTCCAGTTGATACTTAACTATCTGGTTTCAGATCTCCCTTAGCTCATATTATTTGATCCTCATCGGTAAAATGGTAACTGACAAAAAGTGTGAAATTTCAGACCTGTATTCTCATCTGTAGATGTATTGAGTTTTCATGTCCATCGATTGTTTGACATCCTGCTTCCTCGATCTCTCTTCCGAATTGTTTCGCTAATGTAACCGTCAGCTTTTTGAAAAATAGAATAGGTCACGCCTTCTGACACCTACATGTGCTCGGTCATTGTTCGTGGATGCGATAGCACGACGATAAACGCGAGTCGTATTGCGGACATTGCGTCTTTGCGATGTTATTTGAACCACATTTGGGTCATCCGTTGAGTAACAAAAGTTTTACCATCGTTCTCTTTAACCCCTCACTGCTTTCTTTACCCATCGCAGTATATTTCGCGTTCTCCAAGAGTAAATGTCTTCATGGAGTTTTATCCAAAGTCAGGTTGCATTGAAAAAATCCGTTATTGATGAAAAGTCTGCGTAAGCGAACATAGGTTTTCGGTAAATCCTCATCAGGCTTCTACAATTACATGAAAATAAAAATTTTGTACACAGACCCAACGGGTCGACAATCAGACAAATTGATTCTGCTGCGCTTGGACAAACCGTCGGTCAGGCTCCAATTGTAGTAGCACGCTCGCACAGGTCAACTGCAATCCATTCTCGTCAAGGTAGACTCAACTCGTGAGGAAATCTTTTCTGCGTGCGCAGCACTGGTTCGTACAACCGAATGGTGATGGCTTCTGGGGCGTCTAATATCCGCTTACGGAAATACTTTGACCGCTTTTCTGGGGTCTGATAGATTACTTTGAACGAATCAGCCGACTTGGTGGTGTGACCCGTATCTGCAAGATGTGCAGCGCTGGCTGTGTTGGTGGCCTGTGGGTCTTTATTTCCGAACCAGGTCGGATGTTGTTCCATCACTCTTTCGGATATTAGACGCTGCAGAAACCATCGCCATTCGGTTGTACGAACCAGCGCTGTGCACGCAGAAAAGATTTCCTCACGAGTTGAGTCTACCTTGACGAGAATGGATTGCAGTTGACCTGTGCGAGCGTGCTACTACAATTGGAGCCTGACCGACGGTTTGTCCAAGCGCAGCAGAATCAATTTGACTGATTGTCGACCCGTTGGGTCTGTATACAAAATTTTTATTTTCATGTAATTGTAGAAGCCT